ATTTACACAAAGCCAAAGTTCTTGGATTTTATAGCTATAAGCACCTTGCTACGCAAAATCGTTTTACTCGAATATAATGGTATGTACAGCCTTGATATACATGTGTTTGCCGTTGGTAAATGCGAATCGTCAGCTGGTCTTATTGTTACCGATGGCAAAGGCTGAAATCCTTCTTCTGACGCTGGCAATGCTGGTGAGCCCGTCCAGAAATAGACCTTAGGATGAGTACAAAAATCGTTATGAAATATTATTTAAAGTGAAAAAACATCCATACCAAATCTTGGCGCTCTGATGAATTCATTTTCTCAACTATACTCCAAAACCACCTTTTAAATTTCAATAGTTTATCAGATCCTTCACTGGATTCATCATTGAATGTTGTGTAAGATATCAACGTAGAGACATTTATGTCACCAACACCGTTTAAAAGCAAGCGTAAGTCTTCAGCAGTTAAACTGTTCATACAATTATCTGGTAACACATCAAATACTCCGTCCTTGAGCGCCTATAAGTAAAATGGTATTAGAGTTTTAATATGAATATTAGCATGTGATATACATACATATCGCTAGGTTAGAGTGAAAAGTTGCTAACTCCACTTTCTATGAAAACTCATATTTCGATACAGGAGGCTACATAAATTAAAAATGCATCGTTTCGAGGATAAAGGTCCTTGTTTTATATTTTCTCGTTTATATTCAATGAAAAGAAAATTTGCTAAGTGCAAAAAAAGCTCCGAAAATTCGATAAGGCTAAATAGTTCGAAATCTTTTAATAAAGATCGAATTCCTCAGATTCGTATGGAGTTTTGCTTTGCTTTAAACAGGCAAAATGTTGTATTCAAAGTTTTGCGAAATACTTGAAGAAAATGGCTATAAGCGGTTTTTTTCCTCTCCTGTTTAATTTTTAAATTGCAACTTAGCAACTTTGTACTCTAAGCTAGCGATTTATAATATAATGAATGCATGGAAGGAGGCTTTGTTTATCTATAATTTGTGTTGCCAAGAACAGGGTATAAAGTTTATAGCATGATAAAAACATAGCAAGGTAGAACCGTTCTCTCAATTTGTCGGCCATGATTTTTTTTTGAAGTTTGCCAACATTTTAAAATCATATAAAAGTGAAAATAAAAAATTGAAATTGTTCAAATTGTTGTTGCTTGAGATTGAAAATGAAAATGTGTGTGTGAGTTTGTGAGTAAATTTAAAAATTAAATTGTTTGGAAACGTCAAGAATTTTAAAAGTGACTCCCAGCGGTTCTACCTTACTATATTTTTATCATGGTTTTTAATACGAGACTATATTCGTGGCTATCACTGAATCCATCGTAGGTTCCATTTTGGTGAAATCTAGGAAAATGCTAACCCTGAATCCGATAGCTACGAGCATAAATTCAATAATCAAAGAGTGCTATCCGATGACTCCCTTAGCTTTAGTGCGAATTTTCTACAAGTTTGTGTTGTCAGAAAAATATTGAAAAGTGATAAATCTAAAACATACATAATGCATGAATAAGTTAATAGTAAAAAATCTTTTTAAAACAAGCTTTCTAAAGAACGAAATCGGACCATAAATATGGGTTCAAAAAAAGTTTCGAGTCCTGCGCTACCTACCGGCGAAGGAGTTATTCCTTTTCGTTTAAGTAATATCATCTTATAAATATAAATTTAACCAAAGTCTAAATGCAGGTTTTCGAAATATTTCGACCCCTGCGTCATCTACCGGCTAAATTTTTTAGGGGTTATTTCCCTTCGTGTAGGTAATATACATTTCAAATATGAATATATATAAATACGGAGTTTTTCAGATATCTCGACTCCTGTGCCACCTAGCGGAAAATTAATGTAAGTTTGAAATTTTAAGTTTCTAGCTATTGGGGAAGTTGGTTTAAAATTTATTGCAAGATTTGAACCAAACAAACATACTTGCATAGATACTTACTTACTTACATACATACCTACATACATACAAAGCAAGTTAAATAATACCATATATCGTCGCTCGAATAAAGAAACAGTGTAAATGCCACATACACTATTATTCGATAATTGCACCATTGGATAGACAATCCTTTAATCTATTAGAAAGATCTTCAGTTTTCTTAAATATCCCTTTGGCTCACTAATTTATACCGGAAAAACGAAATTGTATTTGTATGGTTTGTAATGGTTTGTAAAAACTTCCAATTCGTTTTTCTCAAAACTATACTTTTACTGAATTTTGAAAAGTAAAAATGTCAGTTTGAGTACATTCTCTTATCGGATCTCTCTTTCTTTTTTGAATATATCGACACTCTGATGTTGGGGAATGTACTTTGAATTTACTAGCAATATAGAAGTACTACATTTTTGAATAATACATATCGCTAGCTTAGAGTGAAAAGTTGCTAACTCCCAATTTACAAATTTTACAGAAGAGGAAAAAACTTCCTATTGCCATTTTCTTCAAGTATTTCGCAAACCTTTGAATATAACATTTTGCCTGTTGAAAGCAAAGCAAACCCCATACGAATCAGAGGGATTCGATCTTTATTAAAAATTCGTACTATTTTGGCCTTATCGAATTTTCTGAGCTTCTTTCAGACTAAGCAAATTTGCTTTTCATAAAGACAAAACTTATTTACACATGAAGCTGTGTGGCATATGATAGTTGGCCGAATCGTTCGTTTCTGTTCTGGGCTTATTGGCGCCAACTGGAAATGCCAACTGATGCTGAGTCCTTTAGTAACTGCTACCCTTATCCTCTGCCACCACAGCGGCTGCAGTGTGTCTCATATATACATATATACAAATATTGTATTTTTTGTTAATTTTTCGTGTGAATTATTTTTCAATACGAATTCGTTAAACCGCTCCTGAATTTTGAAAAGTAAAAATGTCAGTTTGAGTACATTCTCTTATCGGATCTCTCTTTCTTTTTTGAATATATCAACACTCTGATGTTGGGGAATTTACAAATTTTACAGAAGAGGAAAAAGCTTCTTATAGCCATTTTCTTCAAGTATTTCGCAAACTTTTGAATATAACATTTTGCCTGTTTAAAGTAAAGCAAACCCCATACGAATCAGAGGGATTCGATCTTTATTAAAAATTCGTACTATTTTGGCCTTATCGAATTTTCTGAGCTTCTTTCAGACTTAGCAAATTTGCTTTTCATTGAATATAAACGAGAAAACATAAAGCAAGTACCTATATCCTTTTCGAAACGATGTACTTTTAATTTCTCTAACCTCCTGTATCAAAATATGGAGAAGTCTTCTCAAGTAAATTATGTAATAATATGGGAGTACCACAAGGTGCCATTCTCTCCTCTACTGTTTATTCTTTGTATTAATGATTTAACAAGTTGCTTAAAACATTGTCAGGCTAGATTATTCGCTGATGATACTCTTGTTTACATTATTGCAGATACTATAGAAGAAGCTTCCTCAAAGCTAAATTACGATCTAAACACACTATATATGAAGTTGCGCCAAACAAACTTAAATTAAACGTTTCTAAAATTAAAGTTATGGCCATCACTAATAAGAATATAAACAAGAACAGTATCAGTATTTGTAAAAATGGAATCAGATTAGATATTGAAAATGAAATCAAATATTTGGGCATTATCATTGACGAAAAACTTGCTTTTGACAAGAACATTGGGTACGTTTGTAAAAAGGTTGGCCTTAGAGTAAATGTTTTAAATAGATTACGAAACAAGCTAAACATGAATCAAAAACTAACATTGTATAAATCTATAATTGAGCCACACTTCACATATTGTGCAACTGTATTGTTTCTTCCAAATATTACTGGTTTAAATAGATTACAGGTACTACAGAACAAATGCTTAAGACAAGTATTGAAAGTCAGTAACTTTACGGAAAGTCATATTATGTTAAATAAATTAAATTTAATGAGCGTTCAACAATTAATTACTCTTAGAACGTTAATATTTATTTTTGAAATTGTAAATGGACTTGCTCCAGAATAACTTACTTGTAGAATCACATTCAAAAACAAAAACCATGCTATAAGTTTAAGAAATTCTAACCAAATTTATTTAACGAATTCAATTAAATTCTGTAGTCAGAACTCTTTATTTTATAGGGTATACAAATTTTCAACTCTCTTCCTTCACATGTTGAAAATCAAGAAACTATGTTTAAATTCCAAACCTCATTGAGAAATCATATTATTCAAACTATGTAATGCTGTTTTTAATGGAAATTCTAAATTTCTAAATAAAGATATTATTATATTATATGCATATTGGTTTAGCTTAGCGAAACATGCTTATGGGAGAATGCAGTGTTAGCAGAAATACACGCGGGCAACATTTTGAGCCTCGATTTGTTTACGTTAGTTACCAAATAGGTTCATTACACTTTTGGCTCGTTTGGGAATATAAATATGTATTTCTGATACCCTACACCTCCTCCCTTTGGAAGAATGCTTATACATTTGTGAGGTCAATGTATGAGCATTCTATTTCAATTAAATTGTATGACATAATTTTAAAGTTACTTGAATTTGTTTATTTTACTTTTTTTTTTTTAAATGTTTACTTATGAATAATTGCTGAGTTTACTTTTTAGTTGTTTTGCGGGCATTGTTTATTTGTTTTTTAATTCATGCAGTATATTTGTATGAAGTAATTAAATGAACAATCAATTTAAAGTTTTATATTTATGCTAACAAAAGTTAAATGTTCTTATTCTAATAATTTAAGCCTATCTTTATGTACTATAACTTTCTTATTTTTACTGCGTAAGGTATAATTATATTCATTATCTATTATTATTCTACTCTATAGGGCCCTTTGTATTTACTATCTAATTTATGACCTGTTTCGTCTTTAACTAGTACTAAATCTCCTATATTTATTTCCTTACTTAGAATACTTCTATCATAATTAATTTTTTGTCTTTGCTGTGCTATTTGTAACATATATATTATTTCTTTGTCATATGCCTTATTATATACTGGGCTAACTATGTTTTCTTGTTTTTCCAGAAAATAGTACGAAAGGACAGCAACCATGGACCGAGGAAAGTGTTGTATTGTAACAATACGAAAAGTATCTAAGGTATTCATCCCAATCGTCCTTATTAATGGATATGTAGGAACGCACATATTCATTGAATGTTCTATGACTGTGTTCAACCGTGCCTAAAGTTTGATGATGGTAAGGTGTTGAGGTTTTATATGCTCAATTTTCAAATTCTTCAAATAAAATATTTTTATATTCGGTTCTCATGTTAGTTATAATTGTTTTCATACATCCATAAATTAGAATGAAGTTTTCGAATATTGCTTTAGCAACTGTTTTTTCGTGTTTGCTTTTTATTGGGATTGGAATTAAATATTTAGTCAGATCACATACAATGGTGACTACATATCTGTTTTCGTTTAAAGATTTAGGAAATGGTCCAACTGTATCGGTCTGTACTATATCAACAACTTTTGGCGGTGTCTCCGTTATTGTCATTGGTTCTTTCAGGTGTGTATTGATTTTATTTTTCTTACAGTTAATGCATTTCCTGATATATTTTTTAATATAATTATTCATATTTTTCCAGTAATATTTTTGTTTTATTTTGATGGTCGTACGATTGATTCCTGGGTGACCACATTTAACAGGATCTTCGTGATATTTGTGAAGAATATTTTTAATTTTTTCAATATTTGTCACATGCATAACCTCCGGAGTTAATGCAATAGTTAAGTTTTTTAGAACTTTGGAACCTATTTCTTTAAATTTATCTACTTGAGTATAATTAAACAATTTGTCTCCTAAGGACAAAGGTATTTTTACTAGTCCTAAATTGCCGGCATTTTTCATAAGCCAGGTAAAGAATTGTCCTAAGTAAATTTCACCTCAACAATTAGGTTGCTTGTATCTATTTCGCTAAAAATTTTCTTTCCTTTTTGAAACATAGTTTCGGAGGATCAAAAACGAGCTCGACATTTCTTTTGACTTCATATTTATTAAGCGCTTCATATATTATAGGGATCTCATTGTGACTTTTCTTTTCTTCTTTGTTAATATTACTACTGATTGTTTGCTTAGTTTCCGATCTTTTCGCAACTTTCGTTATTTTGCATGCTTCTACTGTCATATCCTTAAGATTTTTGATATCTATGCGCAATAGTGCAACTCTACGTAATTTACTTTTCCAGCTATATACTCCACCTCAAAGTCATATTCTTCCAAATCTAATCTAACTAGTTAATTTGGAGGAGGTTTTTCATTGAAAAAAGGAAGGTTAAAAGTCGATAGTCAGTTTTAATTAAAAAATTTCTGCCATAAACCTATGGTCTAAAATATGTAATGGCCCAGTGAATTGCTGCCAATTAATTTTCAATTGTTGCTTTATTAATTTCACCTTTTCTTTCTTTTCGCCTTCATATTCTTGACTAAGTACTGCGCCGCAGGCATAGCCGCTGGCGTCTGTTGTGATACAAAATTCTTTATAAAAGTCCGGATATTGTAGGATAATTGGACAAGTTAATGCTTTTTCAAATAAATAAAAGCTCTTTGACATTCTTCTGTTCAATTGAAGGATACATTCTTTTTACAAAGTCTTGTTAAAATTTTAGAGTATTCTGCGAAATTTGGTACAAATCTTCGGTAATAGTTACAGAATGCAACAAATTGTTTGACTTCGTCGGCAGTTTTGGGAGTTGGGTAGTTTTGAATAATTTCGAATTTATTTGGATCTGGCAAAATTCCTTTGCTTGCGCATTTATGTCCAAGATAAGTGACTTCTTGACTAAAAAATAAACATTTATCAGGATGTAACTTCAAATTATATTTTCTGCAAGTTGAAAATACATCCCGCAGATTTTTCATCATATGCTTTTAGGAGCATCCAAAGCTGTAAACACATAAAGGGCTTGTGGTGTGTGGCATGCAGCCTGTCAAAATAAAATGTGTGTAAACCATGATACAAAAAAGAAGGTAGTTTCAATAAACAACTTTTGACGGATAATAAAATTTTTGGAAGTCTCATAAATTGTGAGTATTATCATCGGCGTTGCCACTTTGATAATATTATAACAATAAATCGGAGTATTTTCCTTCCCATATTTATACCAATGTAATAATATTTAAAATCAAAAACCATTATCAGTGCTTTTTTTACTTACGCAACTCGCACTATTTTCATTAAAAATATATAAAATATAGACTATTAAATAAGACTTCATCGTAATTGTTCTTTTATTTTATAATAAAAACCACGCGCGCATTATGCTGTTATTTTTTCGTTTTCTTATTTTGAATGCAATCTTGCGATCTAAAAATCTAATTCTAACGAATGTTCTTCCCAAATAAAACATTTTCATATTTTGGTTCACATATACTTTTATATTTCTCATAAGATTTTGCAAACAATTAGCTTTCAAAAATTTTGATCTTAACGTTTCTAATGTATGCAAAAAACCTGAAGTCGGCTTGAACAGAAAACTTGAAAACCACGTATCAACAAAATGCAAAACTGCGTACGCGAGGTTGCATAAATTATTTTCCAGAGAGTAAAAACACTTGTGTGAGCAAATCCAATCTTTGACAAAAAATGTCAGTTACGCGGTTTTGCAGAACGACGATACGCGGTTTTGTACTTTAAACGACGATATGTAAGTATAATTTTGATCCCTTTCTTCATGCGTTCTGAAACCTGGCATCAACCCCATTTTCGAAATTATGTAGCCGGCATAATTTTCAAGTCCATCATAATCCATATCTTTGAATGTACTGATAAAATCTTCTGCTTTAAAAAAATATATTTCTTCTAGTGATCAGGTATCATGAATTTGATGAAGTGTCATAATTTTATTAAAAGTCAAATGGTTAGCAACAACAACGAATGTCATTAAATGGAACTACCTTCTTTTTTGTATCATGGTGTAAACCATATGAACTGATCACAATCCACAACACAAGCCCAGGCTGTAGTTTGATTGCACGCCATAATGTAGCCGAGCAATATCTATTTTCTAATATGACAGGTGTGCTTACATTTCATCTCAGTGTTGGGAAATTAAATTGTTCCTTTACTACGAAATCTATACCAAAACTGTACTTTTGACTGTAAATTTTATCGACTTTTGAACATATACCAATGATTTGATGGTATGAGAAAGTTTACTTGTTTATGTACATACATTTACATATTTTACACCTTTACAAATTGACTAACATAATCATAAATATGTATGCACACATTTTCAGGTACAGTTCTTAACAAAACGCAGTTTTAAGCCATTATTATTGGAAAAATGAAGCATCTTCTTTGAATTCGATACTAAAACCGGACATAGCATTTCATTAGTAATTTTAATATTATGGCAATATTCCTAGCTATAGTAATATAATATATATATATTTTATGACACCCACATATTAAAGAGATTTGACTATATATCTAAATATTATTTAATTTTAATTATTTGTTTATAAAAAAGTTTATACTTTAACCAAAACCGTATAAATCCAAGATCCAATATTTGTGCAACATTAAAAAAATCAACAAACTTTTCTAAATATTTCAAGCTTTTTAATTAAATATCCTATAAATATATTAAGTATACAGTTTTGCAGCCCATTCAATTTTAATGCAACAAAGTGCAAGTTTAAAGTAGCTACGACTTACCGTTGATTTTTTTAATTTTTTTGTTGAAGGTGTTAATCATTTTCTCCATATAAAAAAATCGTCAAACATACTTCATATGGAAGAAAATGACTGACATCGTTAAAAATATTGCCGAAAATCAATAGTAAATCCCAGCTACTTTAAACCAGTTTAGGTTATTACATATAATAAAATTGAATGCTGTACAAAACTACATACTCAAAATATTTCACAAAAATTTTAATAAAAAGCTCGACATTTTCATGAAAATTTTCTGTTTTTTTTAATGTTGCATAAAGATTTAATCTCGGATTTATACAGTTTTCGTTAGGGATAAAACGATACCATCGAAGTATCGATACCTGTACTTGGAAGTAGCATCGAAAGAAAGTATCGATACCTACTTATATCGATATTTGTACATGAATATATAAGAATTAATTAATAATTAAAAAAGCGCTATCCCATATCTATGAATTTTTGTGAAAATAACTTATGTGACGATCATTTTTGATTTTAGAAGAATGGTACTTAATCTTTTTAAGAAAAACTTTAAGTTTCAAAACATGTTTTACTAGGATGGCCCCCCAAAAAACAAGAAAAAGGTGCAAAGTCCGATAAGTTGTTTTATAAAATCCCCACAGAATTTGCTTCTTTTTTATGTACGTATTTTATTTGTTATACTCATCTATTGATGTTGCGGCGGATTCCTTGCGTATATATAGTTGCACCAAAACTAAGCGCCCAATGCGGATTAAGTAAAAGAGCGGTTTCTTCGGAATTCAGTTTCATTTAGGATTTACTTAACTTAATAGGTTTGATACATAGGTATTTATGCGGAATTATTTAAGGCGGTTAAACGCGTATAAAAAGCGGGAGATCGAAGCGAAAAAGAATAAAGCGGCCGTAAAAACCCAACCAGAACTTGAGCGAGCGAAAATACCAGAACTCAAAAAAATAGCTAGCTATATCAAAGCAAAACGAAAAAGGAAGAGAAAGAATAGTCAAAATGTCAAATATCAATTGGTATTAACTCTTGTTTGGAGTCGCAAAGTTAACCCTTGTAAACATTAGTGCGTTAACCTTTATGTTTATGATATACATATTACAACTTGACAATTAGCGTAAGCGAACCCAACATACCGCCGCCCTTTAACTATCCTGATAGGTTCAATACAGAAATCACAATTATAGTATGGCGAAATTAAGCAAATTAGCAAACAATACAAAATACTTAGGTTAACGCGCTGTCGCACACATATCTACATACGCAGTCTATGAGTCTTCTTCGTAGAACAAGTCGCCTTTCGTCGGCAAAAGGCACAGTTTGACAATCGGTCGAGCTAGTTCCCCGTTTGGTGTCTTCAAAGTGACCACTCTCACACGTCCGTCAGCTCCAGGGTGGCATTTGATGACTCTAGCAAGTACCCGTTTCGTCGGAGGAGTATTCTCACTGAATACAGCAACCACGTCCCCTTCTTTAAAGTTACGTGTAGGTCGAAACCATTTTGATCGACGCTGTAAACTTGTCAGATATTCATCTCTCCAACGTCGCCAGAAATGTTGCCTGATCGTCGATATTGCTTGCCATCGTTGATGAAGATTACCCCAGAACCCTTGACCCTCCGGCTCTGGGATCGACTTCAGCGGTTCACCAATTATGAAGTGCCCAGGAGTTAGAACTTCGAGATCTCCTGCAGTTGTCGAGCTCTCAAATAGCGGGCGGGAGTTAACACAGGCTTCCACTTCTGTCAGTAGCATACTGAACTCTTCATATGATAACAAAGTTTCGGCCAAAACACGTTTCAAGTGATATTTTACGCGCTTAANCAAATGAACAAATATAACCCTTAGTAGACTTCGCTCCTCTGCCGTGCGTAAACTTGTACATGTATGGACCAGCGAAGTCCACCGCAGTGCGAGTGAAACAACGAGCGTAGTTGGTTCTGGAAGCGGGTAGATCTCCCATCGATTGCATAGCAAGATTTCGATTCAAACATATGCATTTAACACATTTGTGATAAACGTTGCGAATCAGGTTACGAGCACGGATGACCCAATATCGGCGTTGTAAAACAACCAGCATTATACGAGGCCCAGCGTGTAACGTAAACTTATGTATGTCGGAGATTATTAACTTTGCTATTGGACAGTTCTTGTGCAAGATGATTGGATGCTTTACATCAGGTGCGACCTCAGCGTGTTTTAGCCTACCTCCAACTCGTAAGACATCGTTTTTGTCGAGAAACGGCTCTAAGCGCAAAAGACTACTGCGAAGCGGGAGAGGCTTTTTTGCGCTGCAAAAAGATATTTCTTTAGAAAAATAGAAACGTTGGCTATACCTTATCAAACGTAATTCGGCTTCAAATATCTCCTGGCAGCTTGGTGGCCCGTATCGCTCTTGAATGGTGCGTTGAACTTTAGCTCGAACATGGCGTAAAAATCTTAATACATAAGCGATGACGCGTCGTAACTTCGAGAACGATGAATAGTGCATTATTATTGGCCAATGACGGAAGTCACGACATGAGCGGGAACCTTGTTTCGCATACCGACCTCGGTAGTGTGCTGCTTTGTTGCGGCTTGCATCCAGAACTGGTTATTGCTCAGCAGGAAATCAGGTCCCGTCCACCACAGTTGGTGATTCAACAAATCAGCCGGAGATATACCCCTTGACGCGCAGTCTGCAGGATTCTGTTCGGAGCGGACGTGATTCCAGCACTCAGGCGGTAGTACCTCTTGAATGTCAGCGACGTGGTTTGCTATAAATGTAATCCATTTGCTGGGGTTTGCTTGCAGCCATGCCAAGGTAATAGTTGAATCCGTCCAAGCGTACAACGGATAGCGAAGATCATTCCAACTATTTAACACGCTTTTTACTAATTTGGAAGCAAGATGCGCTGCACAAAGCTCCAAACGAGGCAGTGTAGTTGGCTTTATTGGCGCTACTTTAGACTTGGCCGAGATCAGGGCGACCGTGATATGACCGTCGCTTTGAACGGTGCATGCATACAGGACGGCAGCATAAGCGCGTTCCGAAGCGTAAGCAAATACATGAAGTTCGGTTACTGAACCAAGCGTTCCACAGCCAAGCCAGCGATTAACCTCTAGAATTTCTAATTTTCGTAGTTCTGAGCGATGTTCAAGCCACTGTTTTGAGATCGTCTCGGGTATGAGGCCATCCCAGTCCACCCCGTCACGCCAGATGTCTTGAAACCACATCTTGGACTTAATTGTAGTTGGAGAGAGCAATCCTCCTTGCTTAAGGTTGATTGCGAAAGTGAAGCAGTCTGCTTCTGTATTCCAAATGAGGCCCAAAGCGTGAACGTCTTTCCCATCAGCTATGTAGTGCGAA